CAAGAAAAGCACAAGATGTTGAGCAAAAAGCAGTAAGAAAATACTGGCAGAGTGATAAACCTCTGGTATTTTAATATGATTGGCTGTAAGGGGTGACTCAACACAGAGATAAAAGTGAGACAGGTCCAGCTGGAAATGAAAACTGAAATGACAGTAAAATGAAATTGAATGGCATAGATGGAATAGCATGACCTGAGAAATGAAGCGTGGGGTGTAAGATAAATATGCAAAAAATCTGCACTTTTTTTTAAGAAGTAGAACTAGTAAAAAATGCTTCAAATCTTAATATCCTGCATGCTGTTGCATTTTTTAAGAGCAGGTATTATCTGTTGTAAGAAAGCAGTGTAAATATTTCTGGGATAAAAATGTGTTTAATGAATTCTAGGATTTTTTAAATCCTTTGTTTTTGTGGAAACTCTGCTAGCAATGGAGGAAAGAGGCTGTTTAATAACTTGGTCCTGTCTGTTCTTCAGAGAATCGTCCCCCTCTATTCCCAGATTGCCACAACATGTTATCAGAACCTGGGTCATCAAACTTTGGATGGATCCAAGCAGTCATATGAAAGGTGGGCTCCACCAATTGGAAAACATGGTAACAATCCTAAAAGTGTCCACATCTTAATTACGAGCACTCAGTTTTTCCCTGCACATTATCTATGCTGTTGTTCCACCCTCGTGGAGACTTGAATAGGATAGGATAAAATGGTTCTTATGGGCGACGAATGTGGGCAAACCTAATTTGTAGACAACGCACTACTTAGGCAGGGTTTATTTTTCAAGTTTTTGGTAGCAGCTAGGATATTTGGATTTCAGCCCGATTGCCTCAGCAATTTGTTAACACAAATAAATAGTAATAGTGAGGTATGTAGTAATGATTTCAATGAGCACCTTACAAGCTTGGTTGCATCACCCAAGACTTTAGAAATACACTGAATTGCAAGTAGCATCACCACTAATTTCTGTGTCAGTCAAAGGGTAAGTACTGTAATCTCTCCTCCTCTTCTTTCAAATACAAACCATCCTTCAGACCTTTGCCCTTTTGGAAGTCCAGGGGAGTATTTTCCATTTATCTGACTGAATGTGGATCAAGCCTCAATTTGGCAAGGAAAATAGAGCAGGGGAAAAGAAGTACATTTAAGAAGAATCCTGCCATGTTTTGTTAAAGGAGAAAATGCTTCAGAGCACAGGACAGGAAATAATATGCTCACGGGCGGTTTCCTCTGAAGCAGCTCATACATTGCAGCTGAGATAACAGGAGCTGAGACAGCAACATCGGAGTGGCATTTCCCAGATCCCGCAACAGGGGTTTCACAGCACAAAGAGCTGCAGCTGGAAGTAAAGATGGCTTTTCGAGGTCTGTCCACTGAAGGTAGAAGAACTCGCTACTCTTCTTCATAAGTTGGAGCTGTTTTTCTCAGTGGTGAGTGCCATCGCTCACAGCTGCTTTGAGAGGAGTTAAGTCTGCTTTTCAGTTAGGGTACTCGACTTATTTTCATTCTCTGTGGTTTCCTCACAGAAACCAGACACAAAGCCAGTGATGGATAGCCTCATACCAGAAGGCCATTTCAGCAGCCCATGTGGCATTGCCATACAGTGAGAAGGATGCTTGGCCCATGAAGTCAAGAGCAGTGCTAAAGATTGATCTGTTCTGGAATTCCTGTCTGATGCACTGAACATTAAGTTATGCAAACATGTTAATTCACAACACAGAATAAAGCAACTGCCTCCTGCCTTTCTAGGAATGTTTAATTTGGGGCCCAGCAGGGAAATGGCATTCTGTTAGCGTGGACATTTTGTTAGTTTTAGCAACAGGGAACGTAAACTACAATGGAAAAAAAAGTAATGAATGAATATTGAGAAGGAAGCGGAAGGTTAAAATTTCTGTCCTCCAATAAATCAAAACGCATCTGAGAGATCAGCAATACAGGCACGCAGATTTTAAAAGCAAAACTTATTTTATTCTTTTCCAAAAGTCTGAAGTGTGCCAGATAAACCAGAGATTTATCTGTGGTTCACAGCGCTTTAAGCTCAGATCTCCAAAGTGTACAGGACCTGATCTAACTGAAAAGGAGGGAGGCACATAAGTATACTGGAAGACTGGCCCTCTGTTTGCAGCTCACTGTGGTACCGTATCTACTGGCAGATACAACACAAACCCAGAGAGAAAACGATACCCATTCAGATCTGATTATTTAAATAAAGAGTAGATGACAAGAAGTGTTTGCACTTCCTTGAGGCTGCACTCGGGCTGTTCAAGGTGGGCCAAGATGGTGCAGGAATTTCCAGGAGTCTTATGGAGAATGAGAGCTCTTCCAGCGCTTGGAAAAACTCCTAGGTCTCCTGGGTGTTCAATCATTATTTTCCCTATGCTCATTTCTCTCCACTTCAGCACTCTGTCCACTTATAAAGGTCTTGTCTCTAAAACCAGCAGGATTATCTTACTATATCTTAATGCTCTTATCCGGACATCTAATTTGATTCCCATTGAAGGCTAGCAGTAAAGGGAACACAGCAGGAGAAGCAACACAGAGTTTAGCAGGCTATCCAGCACACCGCCAGCTTCCTGCACCCTGAGTCTACAGAGCCATGAGCACCTCAGCAGCCCCACGATTTGTCAGCATGCCTCCAGCATATCAACAACACAGTTTGACTTTTCAGAACCAAGCAGCAACAAAGAGCTCACTCATCCCACCCTCCGATTAGCACCACGCTTTGTTTCCTGGCCCCAGAGGCCAGCCTTTGGGCCCTTCCTAAGGCAGGACTCAGTTATGTTCTCAGCTCCTTGCCCCCATCTGAAGCACATCGCCAGCACAGCCCACAGCCCTCTGCTTACACAACACAGCACAAGTGAGAGGGATTTTCCCTTCTTTCCTCTTCCAAAAGCTTTCTGCTAGATCAAAGCAGAAGAAAATAAGCCAGTCACACCTCTGTCTGATTGCGCTGATGTGGCAATGGCACACCAGCTTCCCAGAACAGCTAAGTGCACACTGCCAGCTAACCACAGGTACAGCCTTCTTCTACAAGCAGAGCTATCCATCACACCTGATGCAAACTAACAAGCTCAGACAAAGAGGCCCCTCTGTGCCAGCTCCGAGTCTCTGAGGCAGAAAAGCCACAGCAGATGTAGTGTCCTAACCCCACATTTGTTTTCCTAGCCCCCAGTGGATCACAGAGAACAGGCTGGAGTCACTGGAGCCAGAATAATCCCTAGTGGGCACAGAGATGGGTTCTACTAGATGGCCCATATCTGGGCTTCCAGTATTATTAGGGAGAGACAACAGCCTGGCTGCCACCTGGGACAGTGCAGGTTGCAGCCTCAACACGGCCACCGTTCCCCAGCCCTATGGCCGAGCATGAGCGAGACGTGAATTCTACACACCTGTATACACCTCTTGTGCCAAAAGCATCTTCCTCCATCTCCCCTTGTCTCCTTTGAAAGTTTCATGAGCTTGATGAGTTGGTTAAACTTTCAAAATCATTTCGTTATTTTCTCTTCCACATGTGAGATGTGAACGCAGAAATAGTGATGTGAAGGGCAGGAAATTCTTCTGGTTTACGTCCTCGGTGTTTGGTTGGATGTGCAAAGTGGGTGAGAAGGAACTTAATTATGGTGGTTTTGAGACTATGGGGAACAGACTACACTGCTTCCTGACTCTGATTTATATTAAGAGTTGAATCTAATGGTACAAATACCCCAGTGGTATCACAAGCTTCCTCTGTAGCTACACCAACAATCAGTTCTGCATCATCTCCTCTCCTTCCCCCAGCTGCTTTTATAGTAAAAAAACAGACATATTTCTTTAATAAACAGGCCTAACCCCTTGTTATTAGATGATAACCAGCCCCAGGATGTTACCAAAACAGAGCAGCACGTGCTGTTAGCAGCAGGCACACGAGTTCCAGCCCTGCTTTAGAGCCCTGTCAAACCCCTCACTGGAAGTAGCAAAGAACACAAAAACACTTCTGATCAACCCATGTCCCCAGCTCACATCAGCACGCCTAAAAATAAACATGTTGTGGCCTGACTAGTCATTATCTCACTGTGCACAGCAAGGCTCTCACAAGGCAAAGGCAGGAGGTCACGGCAAGGCATCTGCTTCAGAGCATCCTCATGCAGGCTCCAGGCAGAGGGAAAGCAGCAGTCCCAGGAGAGCTATGCCAAGATGTGCAGTAATTCCTAGCTCTCTGCTTGCATACAGCATGAGTTAAAACAACTCGCTGTCACCTTCCTTCAGTGCTAGAAGAGCAGCATTGTGCTGAGGACAGCCCAGCCCCTAAACTGCACTCTAATGAGAGGCTCTGTCCCTCTCACCTCGAGCTACAGTGCACCTGAAGGGCAGCCAACAGCACCCAAAACATTATATATCCAAGTAAAATAACTGCCTTTGCCCCTTATTCTCTTACAAGCACTTCAGGCCAGAGCTACCAAGGGATGCTCAGGCATTTGCTTTGTGCTGAGCACAGCTTGGGTGAAAAAGCTCTCATCTCAATAGCAGAGCAGAATGAAAAATAAGAACATGTTCTACAAACAGGTCTCTGCTTCATGACACCAATCCCTCTCTGCTAAGAATTGTGGAAAAAGAAAAAAAAAAAAAGCAGAAAGCTCAAGTGAAATTTGGTTCAAGCTTAATGAATTATGTTCATTTTCCAGCACATTGTCTTGGCTGATAAATCACAGCTTCACGCACCATTAGCATGCAATGATTGGAATATTTAATCAAAGGCCAGATTTTCCTATCATTTACCTTTGAGAAACCAGATTTGCTTGTTGGAACAGTTTTGAACCATTACACACACTTATCAGGAAAATCTTTGTTTTATGTCAAGTGTTGCAATATTTAAAGTTCGTACAGCCAAGCAAAGTTCGGGAAAAATAAGTGGCTCACTGATCTCAACAGATGCAAAAGGATTTGGGCAGTTATTTGAAAGGACTGCAAAGAAGTCAAAGTAGAAGGAGAACAAACGAGTCTACATTTATAACCAATTAGAAACGCTCATTTGTTCTGTGTTCGGAATAAAATCAAGACCCTTTTATTCTCAGATGCTGTAAGACCCAGTTTTAAAGACAAAAATTACTACTATTTTTTGTTTTGAAGCTCAGAGGATGCCTCTCAGGCTGTATCTGCTTCTCCACCCAGAATCACATCTATGCCAAAGCCATGTTTAATTCAGCTTGTAGGCAGCCTCAAAACTGCTGGCAAGAAGGGCCTCTGCACTTGAACGTCCCGTCCTCTTGTATCTATTTACATTTGAAAATGGGACAAAAATCCTCACTTGTTTCTGCCACATGTTCTCAAAAGCCTGAGGAAAAACTGTTTGGAAATGGTTTGTCAACAAAAGTATAGAGCTATTAAAGGCAAAAACACCTCCAAGAGAAGGGCGAAGCAAAGGTATGTAAAAATGAATACAAATCTGCACTTAAACAGGGTTTCATAACTCCCTCCTGAGTACAGTTTGTGCTCCTGGATAGGAACGAAGTCTCATATTTCCAGAGGAGTGGGTGCTTTTGTTTGCTTCTTGAAACGCTTGGTTGAACAGCAGTGCAGAGCTGTAAAAATCAGTTTATTTTAATGCGCTTTATGGGTCTGATTGTTAACAGAAAAGGCCTGAGGGTTGTGTGAGTCTGTGTTGCTGCACTCCTGCACTAAACTTTTACGCGTGTGATCTCCCACACTGAGTAAATGTTGTATGTGGCCACATGAAGCACTTGTTGTGCCCTAAACAACTCCTGTTTAGGCACAGCTACAACAACCACAGCATCAGTGCCCCATCAGCAGCCACATGCCAGAGGAGCTCCACCTCCTGAAGAAGGGGCTCTGGGAACACCATGGGCTGCTCTGGGCACTGCCATGAGCGGGACTGCCAGGGGCACAGCAGCACAGGAGGGGTTGTACACGTGGTACAGCACTACAGCAGAATCAACATTTGGCCAGGAAGGGATAAATTCTTCTATTTGTCATTCCTTTTCTAAGTCTTGATCTTGTCATCCCCTCCTTGCTGAAGAGCCCCTTCTCTCCAATTCTTCCGCCTTTAAACCTATGACAAGAACTCGAGATGTGAAATTCCAGACTTTTGGGGTTTCCAAATCCATATATAGATCCAGTCTGGATCCAATTAAGTCAGATCTTCTGCAGTGAGTAAGAAGAAAGATAGTGCTCAGCTTTCTGATGACAGCGGTGCTGTAAATCTGGCCCTGAGTTCACTGCTTTAGCCCACTCTCCACATGAACATTTGCTATCTGAGATAGATGCACGGGATTTGTTGTTTTTGTTTGTTTGTTTTTCCTCCTGAGTGAAGGAGATAAACCCCTCTCGAAATAGCAGAAATCAAAATAGCAGACCTTGAATTTTCAGCCAATAGCTGAAACTATTGCAACTTGAAGATACAAGATACAACATATTGCAACTTGAAGATGTGTCACTGAAGTGCAGTCACCTCCACTGGATCTGTAGGTCTTCACTGTTTTGAGCTGCCACGTGTGGCTTCAGAGACATCAACAGAGTAGGCAAAAGCTTGCATCCATTCATCTCATGTTTCCCAACACTTTACATCAATGTTGCTACACTGAGCACCCTAAACAGATTTGTCTGAAACGAGTGGCGACTGGCACACAGAGAAGAAATAATAATTTTAAAACAATTAATTTATCACCTAAGCTGAGTATTCTGGAAAGCCAAGGGATCTATATCAGAGACAGTGTCTGTTATCATTCAAAGAAAAAGTAACGATTACTTAAAGGCTCCCAGTTCTTAGAGGGCAAGTATGTTGATATGCTTCCCAGACCTTGGCATGGTCTCTCTGTATTTTCCCTAGAAAAGGTCTCTCCCTGACAAAATCTCCAGATTTTGAACCCTCACAGCAAGACCTCACAAGAACCCACAGCCACCTACAGAGAAGAGGCCTCTGACCCATGCTCTGTGCTCCCAGAGTAGCAGAAACCCACCTACCACCACATCCCATATCTTCAGAGTTTGCTTATACAGTCAAGGCACTGACCTCCCTCTCCTGTCAAACACTCTCTTTTGCCAATGATCGCTAATCATCACCTTTTCCAATCTGCTCAGCTGGTTCTTTCTTCCCAACCCCTATGAAGGGCACCTCAAGCAGCAGCCAGACAGAAAGCCTCACACGTAAGTTAGTCAGTGCAATAGGTAATAGAGGTTCATATCTCTGGCAATCTCTCCCCTTATTGGTTTTAACAAGTTTTGTTGGGAAGACTCCTCAAGCCTAGGACAAAGCTTTTATTTACATTCATGGACAGAGAAGCCAAGATATGTAAAGAATCAGATTTTTGTTCAAATAGCTCAAAGCAGGTATTAAAAAGCTCTTAGAGTGGCGTGTTTTGTAGAGGATGGGAAAGTCTCTCATTTTGGCTGATCACAAAATTCATCTTGAGCCTGAGAAGCTTTCAAAGAACTTTATTGAAAGCAATATATTTCTCCCCAAAGCTTCATTTTCAAAGATTAAACATCAATGAAGACATTTTTTTTAACAAATTTGCTTCCATCTATGCGAAATTATGTGCATTCCACACTTTTTTTTTTGGCCTAGTTTCACCCTACTCCAATGAGGAAAGCCATAAGGTTTGCATCTCGCTTTGTGTGTGGATCAGGGAGCTGAGGCAGATTGCTGTAGGACCCACTTGGTGGCAATGTCAAAGACCTCATGTCCTGATTTACATCGCTCTCTCTAACTTCTTAGATGTACTTGTTTCAGGCTGAAGTTCTCTAGAGAACATCTAACCACAGACCTGGAAATGATTCTAAATATACTGTAACAAGTGTTGTTAATCACACCCACTCTTATATATTATGGCCTGTAAAACAAGAACAGAGTGAAGAGGACTTCCTACTTCCCATATACTGGCAGCAAAAGCATTTCCTGTGTTGCTGAGCTATACATTTCACTGGGAAGGGATGCTCTCTAGTGGTTAGAAAATGAGGCTGGAAAAACAAAATAGTCACTTCCTGTCTCTTTATCAGAACACTACATGTTAAGAGGTAAGTCATCCCATTTCTATGTGCCTTAGTTTCCCCGAGTGTCCACAGCTTGCAGTATCCCTCTTCTATATGGGGATGGCTTGAATGAAAGTTGCTAAATATTTGGAGGGGAGGTTTTAGGTTAAAGCTAAGTACTACTGCCTAGTTGCATTAGGTCAGAGTGAAAGAGCAGTTGATGGGAAAAGGTGAAAACAGGTACAAGGCAAGAAAGATCTGAAACTTTCTGTCAGATCCTCCCCCGTTTTTATTCTAAGTCAAGGAACTGCTCTTTAACTTGATTACTCCTTATCTCTACCTTAGGCACCACAGATTTTCATATAATTAAAATTTCCTTGACAATTGCCAAGGATTTACAACGTGAAATGTTTCAATTTTTCCTTATATTATGTCTTGGCATCAAAGAATCTGCACTCGTTTTCTAAGTATGGGATAAAGATGATTTCTAGTGGGAGACAAATGAATCAAGACCTTGACACCCCTATTTTTTTCTCTCCCTCTTTTTTCTTTTTCTTTCCTTTTTTTTTTTTTTTAAATACATCTGGTTATTATTGAACAGAGGCTTTCATGTTTTAATGATAAATTGTCTTCTCCCGCTGTAACAATGTCCCCAGACAGCTTGTCTTGGCTGAAATGTCTTCTAAGAGCATCTGCTTTTGATCTATAGAGGTTTTAAATCTTTGAATCTAATCTCTAGCCTGACTGACTTGAAAGCTGATTTCCACAAAAGCAGAGTGTGAAACTTGTAGAAACCCTTTAGTAGAATCATTTGAAATTGTTTAAGAGGCTGTATTGACAATAATCAGTATGTCCTTACGACTGTTTTCTGCACATATACATATAGATATATAAAATATAAGAAAGAGACATAAGAAAGGAATTTGACAAATGCCTCAGTGGTATTTCCATGTAATCTGCATATGTTGTGGCTTAATACTCTAATAAAGAAGGACTGGAAGCTTTCCAGAGCACAATATTTATGCCATGTATATCAATTAAGATAATTGGCAATTATATTGATATGTCAATTAAAGTCAAGTAACTTTAAAAGAGTTATGCCTGCTATTAATTTAGTCATGTGCATAAACTGTAAGCATATTTATAAGGATTCTGCTTAAATTTCTCAATATTGCTCATGCCCAGTACATCAGCACGTAATCACCCCCATTCCTTTTGCTCGTTCTGGTCCATTTTAAGCTACAGTTTGCTAAGGACTGTTAAGAGAGAGATGACAAAATTCAGCACGGCTCTCCACTGGTAGCACAGTTCTAGCACATGGTTTACCTTTATTTAATACATGGAGAGCAGATTTCAATTTCACTCCAGCACAAATGAAAATAGGAGCTGGCCAGTATATGCATGAGATTTCTGTGGCTAAGCAGAAACCACTCCGGCCAAATGAAAGAGAATCTCTTAATGCTGCAATACATTCACATTTTCTGTGTTTTCTTTGTGTGTGTATGATAAATATCCCTTAAGAGCTCCTTTGTCCATCAAACCCCACATAGCGTTTTGAAACACATTAACAGTGACAGACCCTCGTTGGATGAGAGCTTAGGTTTTACTGGGATTGAACGGAAGTTTGGACAAGTTCAAGACGGTTTGAGGAGAATATTTCTTCTCAATGAGCTTTCTGGTTAGAACATAATGGAAGCCAGACCCCAACCTCCCAGGCTTGAGGCCTGCAAAACCAAATCATAACAATTGATGAGGTTTTGCTAAACCAAAGCACCTCCTGTTTTCTCATTACAAAGTTGGGCTAAAAGGGAACCTTTATTCAACCTTTTACTCCTTGCACCTTAGCAGCAGTGCTGCAATAGAATTAAACGACGCATCTCCAATATTTCCAATTTAGGGCATGCATTGCCAAAACAACCCTATGAGCCAGCTTCGAAAGCCCCTGAACACAGCCTGTCCTGGACCATCCAAAGACTTCCCCAAAGTTCATGGCTGAAAATGAATTTTTGAGAGACTCCACTAAAACTTCTAATTATTTCTGTGGCTGACTGGGCCAGAAACAGGACGGAAACAACCATTCCATAACCTCTAAGCACTGCTGCTTCAGTCCAAACCAAAACTCCAAAGCAGGGATGGATGCGAAAAGCAATCAAAAACAACACTGCAAAAACACATATCCATCCTAGAAGTGAGGCTTGATTCGGCTTTGGGTTTGGTCCTAGGCACAAGTTAATAAAGTAGAGTTATTTCCTTAGATTCAATTGCCCACTTCTCATTAGCAAAGCATTTTGATGCTCGGCAATCCAGTGCCTAGCAATGGTTTCTGACTCTGTGAGAGAAAATTGAGTGAATTATTTCTAGGATGTTAAAATAAAATAAAATCTGGACTGATAGAATAAATATGTGGGTTGGTAATGGGCAAGAAGCCTTAAGCTGAGCTAAGAGGCTTACCTACTCTAGGAAATGAGTACTGCATGGGTCTAGCATAGAATTTTTCTCTATTTTGCGTGATGATCATCAAATGATAGGATTTTCTCAGGACTTCAGTGTCAACTGAAGAATCTTGCACTAAGAGAACAGTTTATGAGGCATTACTAAACTGAACCATTATCTGCAAGTTCTTCTCATTGTTCCTTTGACTGAACAAGTGCCTGAGCTGAATTTAAGATCCCCTCCCCAGACGCACTTTCTGCTCTCATGGGGTTTGGTTTGTGATGAAGGAACCAATGTGAAGAGTCTGCAGCTGCCAAACAGAAATAGCAACACAACCCAGCTTTCCTGAGCCAGTTTCTGGCAGAGACACTAAGAACTGCTCCACGGTGCTGCTTCACTCCAGCCAACTCTAATCAAAGGGGAGATTCAATGGGAAGGCACCCATTGCTTCAGCAAGGCAGCGCAAAGCCCAACAGCTGCCTGCAGCTGGCAACACACATCCTCACTGCACTGCGGTATCACTGCAGATTTGCTAACTCTCCTGTTGAGTGCAGTTAAGCATTAGAACTGCTAATACACAGCGATTTTGCCTTAAGCTTGAAAGCACCAGAGGTTAAACAGATTTTGATATAAGAGCCTACAAGGAACACTCTATTTAAAAAGCCTATGCATCACTGGCTACAACTGAAAGGATGATGAGTGGTAGGAGGAGATGAAAGGTAGTTCAGACATGGGTATGATGACAACAGTAAAGGGAAATTAAATACACTGCAGGGAAATAGAAGTCATAATCATCTTGGGTTTGCAGCTCATGAACAGTGAAAAGCTTATGTGATGAAACAGCAGGTAGAAGTGCCTCGAGACTCAAGTTTTAAGGCCCCAAGAGTTTAAACTTGACATTCAAGCCCTTTAAAGTTTTATGAGGGCATCCAGTAATTCCTCCAGCTCAGCCCCACCGCCTGATGTGCTGGTTGTTTGATTTACACACTTTCCTGAGTGTACAAAGAATTCCAGGGAAAGCATGCAGAAACCATTGTAGGCCTGTAATTAAATAGCTCTTATGCAGCTTATCCTCTCTGATAATGAATATTCAGCCTCATTTCAAAAGGCCACCACATCTCTGGCTGGTGAAAACTGACACATCCCCACCAAGGAATAAAAGCCCCAGGACAATTTTTATCCCAAGAACTACAATACAACCAGCCCTCAAAAAAATGTGCTCTCTGCTCTTGCTAATTCACACAGGGTAATTCACATGCTTGAGCATCCTCTGATTAAAATGTTAAGGCTGGACAACACCCTCTGCCAGCAAACATCTTCCAGCAGAGAACTGCAGCTACGCCACATCACTGCCATCCTTCACCAGTGCTTCTCTCACCCAGGTACATGAACAACCCACAAGAAGTCACTTAAAACACAAAATGGCAGCAATCGCTTTAGTGACCAGCTCAGATTAGTCAACAGAACCTATACCTAAAACAGTTTTGTACTAATTCTATCCTTCTGCTTATTATAATAATTACTTTTCTAATTACAGCTCACTAATTATACTGGAATTGTACACAATTATGCTAGTAATCTGACTGTGCAGTAATGCTACTCTTGGTAGATACACATCTTTAGTCCCAAATAGAATTGATGATTCTTTAAATATATATATACATATACATACATATATATATATATATATATATATATATAAAACAGTGAGTGATCCTTCCTCCCCTTTCCCCACCTCATCCATTTTTTCCCTCTTTTATAACTTCAAAAAATATAGATGGTCAGCATCTTCAATCACAGCCATCAACTTGACAGTGCTGATGAGCACAGTTTGAGAGACTCGTCAGCTATATCTTGACCACTTCAAGCAGCTTCATGACTGGCAATAAACCAAGCAAATGCTTGTGCTCCTTCCCCACTTGCAGGGTCATTTCAGACAAACTCTGGGAGATGTTTGCGATCTAGGCAAACTTTTGGAGACTATCTGGCAATGTACAAACTGCAGTACCACAGAAGCAAGGTTCTATGAACTCTGGAAAATGTACTCACAAAAATCCTTCAGTGGAGACATGGGAGAGCTACTGTGCCTCAAATCAGAGGCACAAACTTCAGACGAAACAGCATAGACAACTTCTCTGCGATGCCTTAAGCTAAGATTCCATTTATTCAGCAGAGAACAAGGGAAGTTTGCCTTGTTCCTGGTGTGAAAGAGAATAATTCAGGATTAAAAATCCCTTGGAGCACATTTGCCATTTTGGATGAATGGGAAGATGAGAAGAACATCATTATGGGTTATTATCACATCAGGTTAAGGAAGGGGACAAAGAAGGAACACTTTGTAACAGATTTTTGAAAAATAAATAAGTCTGAATGGATTAATAGGAGAGAGAGGTGAAGTGCACATTGGACCACAGAATTTCTAACACGTGCCCTCAGATACTGGGGACACCAGCCTACAGCCAGCACTGTCAGACGCAGCCCAGCATAAGGTCTTGACTGCCTTTAAGAAGCAGTTTGCCAACTTTTAACAAATAATATCAGTATTGTTTTGTGCATGTGTTTTTCATCAGACAACTTGAACTTCTCATTCAATTTTTTTTTTTTTTATTTCTTACAACTCAGTTTCCTTTCTCCTATCTGACAGACCTCGTTTGGGTCCACCTGTCTAAGCAGCTCTCTGATAATTCTTAAATCTCTAGGCCAGTTTCCAGCAAAATTATGGGAGAGTAAGGCCATTACCAACTACATCTTCAACGAAGAGAAATAACTAAACAAGGGAAGAAAAATCTAATTAAAAAAAATATCACTAAACAGCATGACTACAGCGCAAAAAAAAAAAATCAACCCTTACTGTACAAGAAGCCAGACTGAAATAACTTCCAGAAGAAATGTGGTCACAGTGGATCAAATCTTGAAAGAATGACATCTTGATACAAAACAAAAAAAGGTGATAAGGGGACTGCTTAGCATCTGCAAATTGAGTCCTGTGTAGCTGTGTAAGGATAAGCCATACCAAGGGACATAACTTAACAACCTGCAATAGCCAGATGTCTCCAAATATCAGGCCTGATTCTGTATGATCCATTGAAAAACTGATGCAGTTGCATCCTCATCACAACTCCAGGCACTTGGGAGTGGCACATGGGATGCTCACTGCACCCATGAGATATGGAGTTTGCCTTCCAGTGTCAACAAACCCCTAACATACCTGCAGGCCCAAGTGCTTCAAGCACTTACACTGGAAGTAAGACAAGAAACAATAAGTGCCACACTTCTACTCTTCAAATTGTGAGCCAGCTCTGCCTTTGATGCTATATACAAAGTCTTCATGTTCTTATTTTTCTAATTCCTGCAGATTTGATTGCCACATATGGCCAGTTTCAGCAATTGACAAAATATTTCCTTTTCTATTCCACTTACGTCAGAGCTTTCTGGAGCCACAGATTGCTGTGACCTAGCAAATAACAATGAGAAGCAGCAATGTATCCTTTGCACTCAAAACCAAAACACCACAGCAACAGCAGAAACTCAGCTTCTCCCACCCGCAAATTTCCATCACTTCACACAGGATGGCTGCTGTGTTGTTTTATTCTGGTTTTGATGATCCCCTTTTCACTCACGATCCAGCCAAGATACAGACAGACAGATACTGGGAGCATCTGAAAGATATTACCACAGTCTACCACTCTATGGGAGGCTCCAGATAATTGACAGCCAGGGCAGACAGAAGTGCCTGAAGAGATACACCACTCATTAATAGGTTTTAGAGTTTTCAAGCTAACAGTGTTAAAATTCAGTATTTATTAGTCCAGCCTAAACTTATGGCAACTATTATCGTTATTTCCAACTCTCAAATTGTACTTTCCACTAGAGGTCCCAATGTACTTAGTACTTACACAGGGAAAACCAGCTCCTTTTTCTTTATGGCAGAGGACAGGTGATATATTCAGGGCCACCAAAAAACATCCAGTGCAGGATGGCACACACAACCAAGGTCTCCAAAGACATTCAATTTACGTGACCTGGGACATCTCACACTTACTGGGAAGGTCATATATCAGGTGGCCACCTCTTTGTAGGACAAACTGGAGACTTCAAGTAACATCTTCCTAACTAGGATAATTTTCAAGCACAGAATGGAATTCTCTTCCAGTTAGAAGCAAACATGAGCCCATTTGCCTTAAGCCTGCATTTCCTGACTTTCCAAACAAGGGGAAAAACACAGTTGTACTGCCCTAGGGATCAAACAGAGGAAGAGAATGTTAACCTGATACAGTTAGTTGGAGAAGAAAAGCAGTCTTTCTGAAAGAAAAATCTCACTGCAATCATTATGCTGTCTTTGTCCACACAGACCAAAGTCCCCATTCAAACCTTCCCCAGAGCACCAGGGTGGTGGTTGCTTTATGAGGCTCTTTGGCTAGAGAGCCTGAGAAGAGGTTTCTGTAGCCGGGAGCTCAGCCCACCGAGGTTAACCAAGCAACAACTCCAAAGGGGATTTTATACAAACGTATCCAAATTGAACCATTACTCTCTTCTTTCCCTGAAACATCCTTCTTTTCAGGGTTTCTAAAACAAACAACCCTTTTCCCTCCTCTTTCAAGCAACAGACCTTTTTCCACACTCAAAAGCAACCAAAAATATGTTTAATTTTACCAGTTTTGAGGCAGCTCCACCCCACCCAAAGAACACACTGCTCTGGGTCCAGGTCTGTGTGCAGGGCAAGGAATGCAGCAGCTCTGTGCACTTAATGCACACTGCCCACACTAGCTTGGCACATCCCTGGGGCAGCATACTAATCTGTGATTTTTTTTCCCCCCAAATCCTCTTTTATAATTGAAATAGAGAACATTTTATGCAACATAACTTCAAGCTTTATCATCACTATTTTTCTTACTGCTCTAATTTTGTCCAGCTGTGGTGGCAGCTGGAGATGGGTAGCAAGGAGAACATTCCTTTTTGAGTTGCAGTGAGACCTTTCCACTCATTTCCACTTTATTCCACTGGCATCCTGAAAATAAGGCAGCATGTGGATGAGGATAAATAGTGATCTTTTCCATTGTCCTTGACCTTTTCCTTTAATTACATTTAGGCTGGAATAGGAAAATCTTACTCAATTTCAAGAATTCTTCTGGTACTTGTTGAAATATAGAAAACCATATGACTGAAAGCATGTAACTGTTAGGTCTCTGTTCATAAAGCAAAAAAAGAAATAAACATTTATGGAGAAATGCACCCAAATAATTCCATACAAAAATATTGGGGTCTTTCTTCCCCATGTATTTTCAGCTCTGGCTTTGTTTTCTCTTTGGCAAACCCCATAACCAGATATTCTCCAAGCTCATTTCCAGGAAAGCAGATTTCATCAGTGAACACTAAAATTCCATGGAATTTTAGCAACTGACAATGATTTCTCGCCAGAATCTTTCAGAACGCTTCAGGGTGGATTTCTTCTTTTTTTTTTTCCTATCCAATGGAGTTTCCTAATATTTCCTTCCAGTTCTTCATCCCCGTCACCTAAGAGACAGAAGTACTTTACCACAGCTGTCTGAGGTATCTTCGTCTACCCCCAAGAACCAATAGTAGTCCGTTTCTACCAGCTGAAATAAGGATCGCCCACACCAAATTTCAACATTCAAGTACCAGCTGACAGTGTCAAAATTCAAGACCATTTTTCAACAGAATAAATCTTCACTGATTCTAAATGCACAACAGTAATCATATTTGAAGTCAGATCTAAAGTTTGTTGCCTTCAAGGCCTTGATACTTGAATAAAAAAAAAAAAGCTCGAACAGGAATATTGGTTTTATGACATTAGAAACCCAGGAAACCACCTTCCTGGTGGGATTTTGTACTTTTTTCTCTAAACAGCACAAAACACTACATAATCAGAGATCACTGTAACAAGCTATCAATATCTACTTCATTTTGGACAATTTCATATTTGGTCATATACGCTGAATCTAGTTTCAGGCACCTACTTCTGCCAACTACATTGGTTGCAATGGGGACATCCATGTTCCTCCAAGGGTCACTAGAGAAATACACATTGCTAGAAATCATTTGAGAGGCTATCAGATTTTATCTTTGCAGCAAAGAAACTTCACCAATAGGCATGCATTTCTCTCCACTGATTATAAGAGGGAAAAAAAAAAAAAACAAAAACAAACACCAAAAGAACTGTGATCAGAGAAGCCCTGTCTGTCTACAGTTCTCATTAACACAGATAGTGTTAATTAACACCGGAGCCATTCCTGTTAAAGTGGCCAGAAAGTCCTCATGGGGAAGTGAAGAAAGAAGCGACATTCTTATTCTTAGGGGTTTTAAGAGCTGGACTCAGCAAGGCCCTGAGCAGCCTGACCTGACTGTGAAGTCAGCCCTGCTCAGAGAGGGCTGAAGGGTTGGAGATCTGCAGAGCTCCCTTCCAAACTAAATTATGCATTTATGAAAGAAGCTTTATGGGAGCTGGCATTACAGAGAGATGTGCACAAAGCGCCCTATCAAAACATATTCCAAACCACATAAAATAGGTACAATTAATATTTTTCAGAAAAAAACACACAAATTGCCAGACCAGGCCCTTCCAGTCAGTCCATCAAGTCCAGCATCCTCTTCCTGCAGGAGCCCACGGCAGAGGCGTCAGAGAGAAATGTGCAGAGCCCCACCATAAATGACTTCAGAACAACATAACCAAAAGAGAAATTCCTTCCTAATCCCAGGCAGCTAGTAATATGTTGATACCCTGAAGCATATGGGTTATTATCCTCATTAGATTTACACTTATGCAGCGTCACTGGGGATGTTCTTGCTGCCCATGCCAAGGACATGTTTTCCTGGCACACACTGGAGGCAATACAGAGCTTGCTCAGGCCTTTGCTACTCTAGCTAAGCTACTGTATGCCAATAAAATCTTCACACCACACCATCTTGAATTAGGCAATATATATTTATACAGTCTGTGTGGTAACAGTAAGGTTTTTTTTTTTGTTTTAAAGGCAGAAGTATGTAATAAATGACATCCCTTTAAACATGCACAGACTTTACATTTCAGCACCTTCTGCCTTACACTCCTCCTACAGCTCCAGCTCCTATATTTTGTTATGAAATTTATGGGTTTATGCATACCAAAATTGTGTGTGTGTGTGGACTGCTACCTCCAGGGTGGTCTTGGAGAAACGAAGCAAATAAGATGCTCAAATTTGATTACAGGATATAATAAAAGTCAAGACTTCTTTCAGGGGACTATATGAGAATGAGCTGGAAGAAGAAGAAAATCTTTTTTTTTTTTTTTTTTTTTTTTTTTTTTTTTTTTATAAAGGAACTGAAACAGCTTTCTCCCCACCCAACAGAGTTGGCAGTGATAGCCAATTTTCCTGTGTTTGAACCTTCGAGTATGCACTTCAGAACCTCACGTGGTGAAAACTAACCCCAGAATTCCCAGGAGACAGCTGAAAAACCCATTTCAAGGGCAACACTTTGATTTCTTCACATACACAAAATTGGACCTTTTTTTTTTTTTTTTTTTCAGTCAGAGAAAATCTCCAGCCTCTGAGTGAAGGGAAAACTGCAGCGATTACTCCTGCCTTTAGATGGCTGGATAAATATTTACCCTATAAGACCATATATTAAGGAATGAGCTTTTTCTTTTTTTTTTTTTTTTTCCCTCCTTAAAATACTGTTTCACTGTCTCAGCAGTTGTGAATGGCCCTGGTGTCTCTTCCAGTGTGAGCAGCCATTTTGCTGATGCATCACCTTGCTTTTGCTGGAAAGAGATTAGAGACTGACACCATTAACATCAGTGGCAACATCCCCAAGCATTGCTTCACTGCACCCTACATCTTGTGTTGTCATTTATGTCTGAGCAAAATAAACAGAGCGGTCAAAATATGCCACCAGTTCAAAATGAGAACCTTCTATGCTCACCTTGCCCTTATTTTTCATGGTTATAAATGACTAATCCAGAAGACACGCTGCGATGTCTGAGAGTTGAGCAGCTTTGGTTGTGCATACCCTAACCCACCAAGGACTTCCCAGGCTGGATAACGCTGGAAAGCAACACCAATCCATCATCTTCCTTCCTTCATACCAACTTGAGGATGAATCTAGAAAATGCAGTTCCCCATTCACAGAATCACAGAATCACCCGGGTTGGAAGGGACCTCAAGGATCATGTAGTTCCAACCCCCCTGCCTAGCAGGGCCACCAAACACACACATTCAGATCAGGTTGCCCAGGACCCTGTCCAACCTGGCTTTGAACACGTCCAAGGACGGGGCATCCACAACCTCCCTGGGCAGCCCATTCCAGGGCCTAACCACTCTCCTTGTAAAGAACTTCCCCCTAACATCCAACCTAAATCTTCCCTCCTTCAACTTGGATCCATTTCCCCTAGTCCTGCTGTTGTCAGCCCTTTTGAAGAGTTTACTCCCCTCCTGGGTGTAGGTTCCCTTCAGGTATTGATAGGCTGCAATGAGGTCACCCCGCAGCCTTCTCTTCTCCAGGCTGAACAAGCCCAACTCCCTCAGCCTGTCCTCATAGGGGAGGTGCTCCAGCCCCCTGATCATCTTAGTCGCCCTCCTCTGGACCCTTTCCAAGATCTCAATGTCTTTCTTGTACTGAGGGCTCCACACCTGGACACAGTACTCCAGATGGGGCCTCAAAAGAGCCGAGTAGAGAGGGACAATCACCTCCCTGTCCCTGCTGACCACCCCTCTCCTGATGGAGCCCAGGATCCCATTTGCCTTTCGAGCTGCCAGAGCGCACTGCTGGCTCATGTTAATGTCACGTTAATTCAATTAGCAAAAATAGGGAAAAAAACATTTCAAAGCTGTAACTTAATAGATTCTCTAATTCTCTTAGTCCCCAGAGGAGTGGGCTTCTAATAACTCATTGCACAGGGAGGGACAGATTGCCATAATGTTGCTGGTGTTGTATGGTACTTTACCTCACAAGAAGTCCCAATGAAGCTTATGAGTAAGAAGCCCATCATTTGATCCAAGGAGAACAAAAGCAAAAAGGGTGGAAGTGCCAAATCACACTGGTTGGTTTCCCCCAAGATTTTTCCCAAGTCCTCCATCATGAAAAACTCTTCTGCGATAGAATTGTCTGTCTGTTAGTGAAATAAATCATGGGCTGTAATACACGCAAGAGCTATACGAAAAACACAGAGCAATGAAATAAGCATTGTTTTCTTGGGGAAAATTGTGAAAAAAATATCAAAAAACACATACATATTGCTGACAGCTTGAACTAATTTAGATAAAAATATAAACAAAATAGAAAAAGCAAAATCCAGAGAGGAAATAAAAATTTGCAAGGAAAAAGCACGCAGTAATGGTGCCATTTCTGCAAGCTTTTAAAAAGGGAAACAGAAGTCTAATTGAAACTTTATATACCTAATTTTGTGGTATTTACTTCAAGAGGGTAAAAATAGCAGCACTTCCAAAACAAATTCCCTGACTCCATTGGATACATCAACAATGCTGCTTTCTATGGCAGTCTTTACTGGTAAAAACTACTGTTCATGCACAACATATGACAGTTCATGAAAAGATGTTTCATGAAATAAATTGTTTTATCACTACTATCCAAATATCCAAACTATTATCCAAACGCTAAAGCGCTGGCAATAGCAGCAGTTGCTGCTGATGAAATTATAACTTCTATTACAACAGCATTTACTCATTGTTCACAAAAAAAAAAAAAAACCCTCCATATCTGCGCTATAATGGCATTTTCCTATACCATAAGCTTTAGTTAGAAAGCACTATGAATTTCAGCACAGCTTGTATTCATTCAAGCAGCAGTGACGCTGGGTGACAGAAGGCCTCATTCTGCAAGTTTTCTTTTCTGCAATACAATTTGCTTGTATTGAGCAGTAAGATTGTAAACACTCAGACAGACAGCATTTTTCTCTTTTTCAAAGAGACTTCCTGCAGTACTTGTCCTCAGCACAGCATCTTTTGATCATTAAGGAAACCTGGGTTTGCTCAAGGTGAATTTTCCTCTCATTGCTCCCTCTAACCATCACCTCATCCCAAACGTCATTCATCAAATGAGGGGAAAATGAAGCAACTTTGGTTCACCATTAAGCAGTGCAGGGCTCTGGTAGGAATATAGTATAGCTACTATGCTCGGTAAGAGGGAGTGAGAGAGAGAGACGACAGAGCTATCCCAGCTCCTTCCAAGCACAACAAACATGACGTTGAGAAATGTGGTCGGAATAACTCTGGGCAAGGCTCTCCTTGGCTCAGCAGCCAGCTCCCCATAATTTCCGGATAAATACAGCATTGGGTTAATAGATAAGGCAGGAGGCTTCTCAGTTCCTTCACCTGAGCTTTTTTTCTCTGATTGCTAAGCCAGCTTTATGGCCTTTAGATTCTGAATCAGAAAAAAGATGATCAGCCCAAAACAAACATACGATCCAAAAAGAATTAACTCAGAGCCACTGATCCACACCCATCTTGAAAGTCATCCACAACAACCTGGGGCACAGCATCTTTAGAACAACAGCATTAGTACTAGCAATTGTTTTTTCAAACCCATCTCAGGCTCCTGGTTGAAGATGGGGAGACAAACTGCTGAATAAAAAGAGCTTTGCAGAAGCCTATCAGCCCATATTCTCTCATTATTCCCATAAACAGATCATGTACAAGCTAGTTTTCAGTGCCTCACGCCTTGCCCATGCAAGTTCCCAGCAAGTTCTCTAATGCTGAATGTAGAGAAGGCAATGCATTCACTTAAGGTACCCTTCTCCATTTGCTGTCAGCACCCTTGTACATAATATCATGCCTCTCTTTGCATTCTGTGGCATTCACACAGAGTGTTTAAAAACAAAAAATTATTAGCTGGCTATTAGTTACACCACAGAATCAGTTTTCTGAGAAGACATCTAGAGCTCCACTCACCATAATGCAGGGAACACAGGAAAGCTTTATGGGCCTCTCCCTGCCTCCAGAGAGGAAGATCTCTGAGCGTCCCTGCATCTGTCAAATGTGATGTTTATTTCTTCTGTGGAACAAGCTATCTTTATGAAATGAAATTACTGCCCTTCATATATTAAAATAACACCTCCTCAGGAGAGGCTTCCACGGGCACTGGCTATAGCCTGTTTCATAAAGGGAACATTTACCCTGCAGAAAGCTTAAAAGTCAGCAAGACCAATTGGGAAGCATGGGATCAGTACATTTCATTTTTGCTATGAAACTAAAAGTACCATGCAAAGGTGAGCTTTCATTGTTTGTTGCTGGGGATATTATAAACAACTTCTCCATGTTTCAAAGCTAGAAACAAAGAAAGCTTAAATGTGGATTTTTAGCAGTACTGTTAAATTTAATAGACGTTTTGTGCAGCTTTGCACTGAAGTTGTTTAATGGTTTATATACATGGCTGGCTTCATACCCCGGTGCTTTTACCTCATGCTAAACTATGTAAACGTTCTGCTGGAAACACAACTACTTTTGTATCCAGGAAGCAGGGCTTTGAAGCATAATGTGTAAAAGTGAGTGGGATTTCAACACACGATACTTAAATGCCATTCTTCACTCCATACAGACAATGTATTTCTTGTCAGTGCCATGAGGTTTGCAGAGAAAACAAGCAGAAAACTTCTTTGGATATTTGTCAGCTAGTAAAAGCCTGAGCTTTGGAGCACTACGTGATAAGTAATCAGCTGTATAAAACGAAAGTATTTGAGAGCCTTTCTGAAACCTTCAACTTTTCTCTAAAGTCTTTCCCCCCCCCGATGCATTCAAAGCAAAACACCTATTTTTTCATCTGCTCCTTCAATTATGTACTCTTTATTCAGCATCCTCTCCCTAAACACCCCCTCCACCAGTGAACAGCCAGCACTACCAACTCATAAGCTCAACCTGGTTAGCCTAATTTTTAAACTCCTGCTTGAAACCACTTAAAAAAAAAAATATGGGTTAAAGGTATAATGCAAGAAAATTCAGCTTAATGCTTGGAACTCCTCATCAAGTGGTTCCAATCCACCATCACAGACTCCTCTGTGAGTGGGAGAGATAGTGAGACAAACTGCTGAGAGTTAAAGAAGAGCTGCAGAAGCCCATTAACTTGGCCTGTTATGCCAACAGAGATGCTATTCCCATAAACTCACCATGTATATAAGCAAGCTGAAAAGCCTTAACTTCCATTTAACTTTGAGGATACGCAGTTGAACCCCAAGTTTCTCACTTTCCCAATTGATTTTCACTGTGCACGTGACAGAAACTTCAAAAAGTACACAAATGTTCTTCAAAATTTTCCCATCTGCTTCCACAAGCATGAGATTTGATACAGCAGGGCTCATTTCAGCTCCTACAGATATTTGTTTTAGTTTCTTGTGTATATATATATTTTCTAGGATAGAATTAATGAGCACTTCAGGAATCAAGAACAGACAAGAATCTTGAATTTTGGTGAAGCACTAGTAATCAACATGTTGGCAAAAGAGCACTTTTTCCATGGTAATGACATATTTGAGATCTATTATCCAATGCTTAGCACACAATCTCTTTAGAAGATGATAGCTTCCACTTTGAGTGAAATACTGAGGATTGGTAGATCCTTCCATAGCTACAGGCATCAACACACCAACTTGAGCTAAGGAATCATAAAGACCCCCCTAGTGGAAATAGCTTTCCCAATGGCTACCTACACATTCAGACTGAAAAAAACCATGTGATAAGATGAAGAGTAAGTACTACTGGGTGGTAAAACTCCTTATGTTTCCTATCAACCATACACTTGCAGAGCATCCTTCCAATGATATGAGAGCTCTGTGCTCTAAACATTGTCCAGGACTCATTTATACAGGATACATTAAAGGATTTACTCTTCAGCTTCCTTTTGGAACTCAAAGAGTGACAATTTCACATTGACCACTCTGTATTGCTTTCATATGGCCATTGATGCGTTGCAGCAATAAAAGCAGCACCACACTGACAGGTCACAAACAAAAAGAAGGACAGCGTTTTGTTGTACCTCTTTGAAGAGGCACGATGGACTGTTTCTGCACTGTGAGCACGCAGAATCCCATCACCTACCTGCTTTGCTCCCAT